GCTAACGATCCTCACAGAGAGACATTTTGAGAAGTACCGGGATAGGCGTGGCTAACGATCCTCAGAGAGACACGTTGAGAAGTACTGGATAGGCGTGGCTAACGATCTCACCAGAGACACGTTGAGAAGTAGTGGATAGGCGTGGCTAACGATCTCACAGAGAGACATTTTGAGAAGTACTGGGATAGGCGTGGCTAACGATCTCACAGAGAGACACGTTGAGAAGTACTGGGATAGGCGTGGCTAACGATCTCACAGAGAGACACGTTGAGAAGTACTGGGATAGGCGTGGCTAAGGATCTCGCAGAGAGACACGTTGAGATGTAGTGGGATAGGCATGGCTAAGGATCTCACAGAGAGACACGTTGATATATAGTGGGGTAGGCGTGGCTAACGATCTCACAGAGAGACACGTTGAGAAGTAGTGGGGTAGGCGTGGCTAACGATCTCACAGAGACACGTTGAGAAGTAGTGGGTAGGCGTGTCTAACGATCCTGCCACAGAGACACGTTGAGAAGTACTTGGATAGGCGTGGCTAACGATCCACAGAGAGACACGTTGAGAAGTAGTGGATAGGCGTGGCTAACGATCTCACAGAGAGACACGTTGAGAAGTAGTGGGGTAGGCGTGGCTAACGATCTCCGAGAGAGACACGTTGAGAAGTAGTGGGGTAGGCGTGGCTAACGATCACAGAGAGACACGTTGAGAAGTAGTGGGATAGGCGTGGCTAACGATCTCACAGAGAGACACGTTGATATGTAGTGGGGTAGGCGTGGCTAACGATCTCACAGAGAGACACGTTGAGAAGTAGTGGATAGGCGTGGCTAACGATCTCACAGAGAGACACGTTGAGAAGTAGTGGGGTAGGCGTGTCTAACGATCTCCGAGAGAGACACGTTGAGAAGTAGTTGGGTAGGCGTGGCTAACGATCCTCACAGAGAGACACGTTGAGAAGTAGTGGGGTAGGCGTGTCTAACGATCTCACAGAGAGACACGTTGAGAAATAGTGGGTAGGCGCGTCTAACGATCTCGCCAGAGACACGTTGAGAAGTAGTGGGGTAGGCGTGTCTAACGATCTCCGAGAGAGACACGTTGAGAAGTAGTGGGTAGGCGTGTCTAACGATCTCCGAGAGAGACACGTTGAGAAGTAGTGGATAGGCGTGGCTAACGATCTCACAGAGAGACATTTTGAGAAGCATGGGGTAGGCGTGGCTAACGATCCCTCCGAGAGAGACACGTTGAGAAGTAGTGGGTAGGCGTGGCTAACGATCCTCACAGAGGGACACGTTGAGAAGTAGTGGATAGGCGCGGCTAACGATCCACAGAGAGACACGTTGAGAAGTACTGGGATAGGCGTGGCTAACGATCCTCACAGAGAGACACGTTGATATGTAGTGGGTAGGCGTGGCTAACGATCTCACAGAGAGACACGTTGATATGTAGTGGGTAGGCGTGGCTAACGATCTCACAGAGAGACACGTTGAGAAGTAGTGGATAGGCGTGGCTAACGATCCTCACAGAGAGACACGCTGAGAAGTAGTGGGGTAGGCGTGTCTAACGATCTCCGAGAGAGACACGTTGAGAAGCAGTGGGTAGGCGTGGCTAACGATCCTGCCAGAGAGACACGTTGAGAAGTAGTGGGGTAGGCGTGTCTAACGGTCTCACAGAGAGACACGTTGAGAAGTAGTGGGGTAGGCGTGGCTAACGATCTCACAGAGAGACACGTTGAGAAGTAGTGGGGTAGGCGTGTCTAACGATCTCACAGAGAGACACGTTGAGAAGTAGTGGGTAGGCGTGGCTAACGATCTCACAGAGAGACACGTTGAGAAGTAGTGGGATAGGCGTGCCTAACGATCTCACAGAGAGACACGTTGAGAAGTAGTGGGTAGGCGTGTCTAACGATCTCCGAGAGAGACACGTTGAGAAGTAGTGGGATAGGCGTGGCTAACGATCTCACAGAGAGACACGTTGAGAAGTACTGGGATAGGCGTGGCTAAGGATCTCGCAGAGAGACACGTTGAGATGTAGTGGGATAGGCGTGGCTAACGATCTCACAGAGAGACACGTTGAGAAGTAGTGGGGTAGGCGTGGCTAACGATCTCACAGAGAGACACGTTGAGAAGTACTGGGATAGGCGTGGCTAACGATCTCACAGAGAGACACGTTGATATATAGTGGGGTAGGCGTGGCTAACGATCTCACAGAGAGACACGTTGAGAAGTAGTGGGGTAGGCGTGGCTAACGATCTCACAGAGAGACACGTTGAGAAGTAGTGGGGTAGGCGTGTCTAACGATCTCACAGAGAGACACGTTGAGAAGTACTTGGATAGGCGTGGCTAACGATCTCACAGAGAGACACGTTGAGAAGTACTGGGATAGGCGTGGCTAACGATCTCACAGAGAGACACGTTGAGAAGTAGTGGGGTAGGCGTGGCTAACGATCTCCAGAGAGACACGTTGAGAAGTAGTGGGTAGGCGTGGCTAACGATCTCACAGAGAGACACGTTGAGAAGTAGTGGGATAGGCGTGGCTAACGATCTCACAGAGAGACACGTTGATATGTAGTGGGGTAGGCGTGGCTAACGATCTCACAGAGAGACACGTTGAGAAGTAGTGGGATAGGCGTGGCTAACGATCTCACAGAGAGACACGTTGAGAAGTAGTGGGGTAGGCGTGTCTAACGATCTCCGAGAGAGACACGTTGAGAAGTAGTTGGGTAGGCGTGGCTAACGATCTCACAGAGAGACACGTTGAGAAGTAGTGGGGTAGGCGTGTCTAACGATCTCACAGAGAGACACGTTGAGAAATAGTGGGGTAGGCGTGTCTAACGATCTCACAGAGAGACACGTTGAGAAGTAGTGGGGTAGGCGTGTCTAACGATCTCCGAGAGAGACACGTTGAGAAGTAGTGGGGTAGGCGTGTCTAACGATCTCCGAGAGAGACACGTTGAGAAGTAGTGGGATAGGCGTGGCTAACGATCTCACAGAGAGACATTTTGAGAAGTATTGGGGTAGGCGTGGCTAACGATCTCCGAGAGAGACACGTTGAGAAGTAGTGGGGTAGGCGTGGCTAACGATCTCACAGAGAGACACGTTGAGAAGTAGTGGGATAGGCGTGGCTAACGATCTCACAGAGAGACACGTTGAGAAGTACTGGGATAGGCGTGGCTAACGATCTCACAGAGAGACACGTTGATATGTAGTGGGGTAGGCGTGGCTAACGATCTCACAGAGAGACACGTTGATATGTAGTGGGTAGGCGTGGCTAACGATCTCACAGAGAGACACGTTGAGAAGTAGTGGGATAGGCGTGGCTAACGATCTCACAGAGAGACACGTTGAGAAGTAGTGGGGTAGGCGTGTCTAACGATCTCCGAGAGAGACACGTTGAGAAGTAGTGGGTAGGCGTGGCTAACGATCTCACAGAGAGACACGTTGAGAAGTAGTGGGGTAGGCGTGTCTAACGATCTCACAGAGAGACACGTTGAGAAGTAGTGGGGTAGGCGTGGCTAACGATCTCACAGAGAGACACGTTGAGAAGTAGTGGGGTAGGCGTGTCTAACGATCTCCGAGAGAGACACGTTGAGAAGTAGTGGGGTAGGCGTGGCTAACGATCTCACAGAGAGACACGTTGAGAAGTAGTGGGGTAGGCGTGTCTAACGATCTCGAGAGAGACACGTTGAGAAGTAGTGGGGTAGGCGTGTCTAACGATCTCCGAGAGAGACACGTTGAGAAGTAGTGGGATAGGCGTGGCTAACGATCTCACAGAGAGACATTTTGAGAAGTATTGGGGTAGGCGTGGCTAACGATCTCACAGAGAGACACGTTGAGAAGTAGTGGGATAGGCGTGGCTAACGATCTCACAGAGAGACATTTTGAGAAGTAGTGGGGTAGGCGTGGCTAACGATCTCACATAGCATTTCCCCAACTAAATGCGTATGAGATGTACGTAGCAAAAGCCCATTATATTGCCAAGGCTGGGAGACTCTCGCGGGGAGTTATGGTGTTTGTGCACAACTCAATTGCACAATACTGTCAACAAATGGAGACCAGCATACATAATACTTTGAATAGACACATCTATGCTATTCAGTAACCGATGCTTGTCGCGCGATCGTAAGGGGCGACTAACGTGATCGGGTGGTCAGGCTCGCTGACTTGATTGACACATGTTATCGTATCCCAGTTGATCAGATCGATGCTCATGCTGTTGATCACTGGATTGTCTGGTCCAGACTCTATTATTTACAGATCGTATAGCTGGAATATTGCTGAGAGTGGCGTTAAAGAACAGAAAAACAGAAAACAAATCCTAGCAAACCTGTACATTGGTTTCATGAGAAAGTTGGGACCATGATTTTCTGATTCAAACACATGTTCATTTTTTTTATTATCAGTGCACACTGTACTGATAATTGATTACCCGCACGAACCGACTGCTCGCCATGCTCTTATTAAACACAACAAAGTGAAGCTTGTGGAAGACCAGGAAAATGTTCAGTTAATTAGCTGTATATTTTCAAGTTGACCACACCTTAAAAGAATATAATATCACCTTAATAACATTGAACCAGTGAACGCATGGTATAATAACAATTTGATGGTGATTCATTAGCACGTGAAATGGCTGGACAGGTAAAGTAGATTCATTTTGAAGCAGGTGTTTCTTAAAATGGAATTAATTTTGTCGCTTTTATCGATATTATTAGTAGTCCTTTCACATTGTAAATAACTGTATGGGTTATGATTCAAATAAAAATGAGACTGATATTTTGAAATAAGTTATTTCCAGCCATGTCGCATTATTTAAAATATAAATGAGTTTAGATTAATAGAAATGGGATGGTCACGGATGCTTTTTGATTCAAATAGTTGATTGATACCAGTTATTCCAAATGAAAGCATTTCATTCATAAAATATATTGACCAGGATTAATATAAACCTGATCACGTGATATTTTAAGGGTATATAAAGTAGGGATGTTGAGAGATGACCTGTGTGCCAGTTGACATTTCGGTAACAGAGTGACCAGCAGCTATGATGTTTGGGTTGATCTGTATTGCTGTCGTGGTCGGTTGTTCCGTCGCTGAACAACTTTGTCCACCTGCTTCATGGCGTGCAGAAGAAGTATCCGCAGCTCTGTTTCTACCAAAAGTCGACCACGAATACCAGCCGAGAAGAGAAGAGGTGACTATTTTAACCATATCCAGTTTCTGTATGTCCTGGGCTCGCGGGAGGTGGGTGGCCTAGTGGTTAAAATGCCTTTGCTCGTCACGCCGAAGACCCAGGTTTGATTCCCTACATTGGTATAATGTGTAAAACCCATTTCTCGTATCCCTTGATACGATATTGCTGGATTATTGCTAAAAGCAGCGTAAAATCTAAAATCCCTCACTTAAGGACTTGCCCTTCAGGAAACATACACTATCACATAATCCATTGCCGTTGATTTTGCGATCTTTTGCCCTTGATTTTGCTGACAGTTTTACCGATAGACCTTAACATGGAGCAAAAGAAATAGTTCAAATGATAAAGAAATAGTTCAAATGATGAAATGTAACATCGCATTGACATTTGTCAGCCACGTAATCAGCGATGAAATCAGCGAAATAAAATTTCTTCGGAAAGCTCGGGAAAACAAACTCAGGCCAACTTTTACTCGTCCAGCTGGCGCCATTTGAATTAGCCCACGTAATCACCGGATGCCAATCAGCGACTCAATAAAATTGGTTTCGGACCAGCTGAGTGAATAAGTATGGAGCCACTTTTACAAATAGCAATAACGGCAGGGGGTATTCCACATATTTGGTGATCAGCCAGACCACAGGGTCAGCCCCTGACCAAAACATAACTTGTAATTCGTGGATCTGTTGAGAGACAAAAGCGTTATAATATTTGCATTGCCAAATCGTTATAGAAACAATATCAAAGATAAAATGTCTGTTAACTGGCTCATTTGTATATCTTATCAAAGATAAAATGTCTGTTAACGTGTATATCTTATGTAAAGTGAGGTAAGTGAAGTTTATTGCCGCACTCAGTAATATTCCAGCTATATGGCGGTTCTCAGTAAACAATCGACCACCCGACAATCCAGTGATCAACAGCATGAGCGCCTATCCACGCAAGTGGGATACGATGACATATGTCAACCTAGGCAGCGAGTCTGACCACCCGATCCCGTTATCCTCCTCTTACCACAAACATGGGTAGCTGAAGATCAATTCTAACCCGGATCTTCACGGGTTCGTTAGAAAGCGGTCAAATGTATAGGAAAGGACAGTTTCAATTACCGCTTTGGGCTGGGTCCCGTCCGGGATTCGATCACACATTGTCATAATTATTACATATAAATTATGTCTAAAATATTATTTTTTTGGTGTGCATTTCTTGATCGTAAAGCACGAAAACAATTTAATCTATGTTTTTATTGTAACCATATTATACAGTATTCACTGCCATGCATATCATATATAAATGATATGTGAAATAGTATTTATTTAATCAAAATTTCATCTTCGTTTATATTGTTAAAATATTATACAGTATTAAGAATGTCATACATATTATAGACAAATTATATCTTAGATAATATTTGTTTACATTACTTGATCGTAAAGCAAGGATACAATTTAATTGTTTATATTGTTACCGTATTATACAGTGTTTATCTTTAACCACAGGACCACGCCCTAGTGTACTATGACGCTGATCAACAGAAAACTGCCCTCGTCGCGAACTATTCCGGTGCCACTGGGAATGGGGACATCAAAATCATCTACGACTATGCAGCGGTGAGTAACGTCAGCAGATTGGACAACGGACGACGATGGGACAGTTTTCTTTCCTGTGCCCAATTTCACCCCACTCCATATTGTGCAACACCTGTTCTTCTTTTGTTGTTATTTGTTCATGCCCCTTTAATCTTATTGGCCCACTCACTACCCGTCAGTGACGTTTGTATGGAGGCCTAGATTTACATTTTTATGTGTTCAGAAAAAGGAATACAGGATCGATCTGGCGAAGAACACATGCAAGTCGAAGGCCCTGACAGACCCTTTCAAGAAATGGTGCATCTCAGGTAAGTCTAATAATGATACTAGTCCATTATTCCAATATGGATTTGGTTTCTTATGGATATCTCAAGACATAGGCTGTATATCCACATTCATGGTAATTTTTAAACAGAGATTCTATGACTGCTTCACTCAAAACTGGCATGCGTCTCTATTTTCGTCACCCAAATGTAAATACTATTCACAATTTAAATCATCTCTAAGCGTCGAACCATATTTAACCAGTGAATTGCTACCAAATCAACGTAAAATTATAACTCAGTTTCGGTGATGTAACTTCAGACTCGCAGTGGGATGTGGCCGTCATACAAACACCCCGTATAATGAACGTCTCTGCCTCTTTTGTCATGCTGCTGGCCTTGATTACATCGAAGATGAACTCCATATTTTATTAATATGTCCAAAATATTCCAAACAAAGATGATTGTGTTTCAATACAACTGACTCAACCACCGACAATTGAAACCTTCATCCGATTTTTGTCATCGGACAATATACATACTTTAAAATCATTGAGTAAATATCTTTCACAAGTTCGCCGTAGAAGGAATGAATAACTGTAAAACAAAAATACTAAACTTTACTTAGCTTTACTCAGTATGTATTAACTTTCGTCAAATGTATGTATTATGGGCCTTGGGCCTAAGGGCGGCATGGGGTAGCCTAGTGGTTAAAGCGTTCGCTCGTCACGCCGAAGACCCGGGTTCGATTCCCCACGTGGGTACAATGTGTTAAGCCCATTTCTGTTGTCCCCCGCCTTGATATTGCTGGAAAATTGCTAAAAAGCGGCGTAAAACTAAAATCACTCACTCACTCACTTGGGCCTAAATTACCGAATAAACCTGTCTGTCTGTAATAGTCTGATACCCAGTCCAGATGATCACTCAGTGACCCAAACGTTATCTGTCGCTCTGCCGTTAAACAGCCAACCAGCAACCAGAATCACACGTATTTTCAGACGACGCAACGTTCCTGTACGACGCCAAGATAGGTTTTTCTTCTGACGGCTCGGACACAGTGACTGCTAAGGTCTACTACGTTGAAAACGTCTACTCCAGCCACACAATCGGCCACGTGATCGCCATCACCAGCGACCTCAACGTGCCTGTGCAGTCTTCAACATTCGGGCGTGGTGGTGGTACGTACTATCGTATTGGTGAAGCTGAGGATGCACTGGTCGTAGAGAGTATTACACGAGCAAGTGTGTCATATGACTTATACGAAACGATTGTGAAATTTTGTAGAGCGAGGGCAATGCAAAATATTGCACGAGTTTCGTATAGGTCGTGTGGCACAGTTTCGAGTGTAATAATTTCTTTATTATCCGTTTTATTCATGTACATTTGTGCAGTAAAACACGGTAAGCAAGTGTGACTGCCCTGTTCATTGACGTCAAGTTCGGTTGTTTAATGACGTCACAGACGACGAAATACAAACAAACATTTGTATAGCGCACAATATCCAGTACAACTGCTCAAAGGCACTTTGTTTTCCCTCGATCATTGGATGTCCATCACAGCGGCACATCGTATTTTGAATCTCAACTCCCTGGGGATCATACAACTCTTGCTGCCTACTAGGCGCACCGAGTTAATGTGGCTTTCCCATCCTAACGAGGTACCCATTCACAGCTAGGTGGACTGGGACACATAGTCACAATACTTTGTCCAAGTTTACTGCACGTTGCTGTACCTGCAGCTAGGTGTTTGCACGTATTCATGTGGGTTCTTTTAAGTGCACAGGGTTGTGTACTGTACACTAGGGGTTGTGACAACACTGAAAGAGTCTGCACACAAAGTTGACTCCAAGGTTTTTTACACCCGGTCACAGGTGGGCTCGATCCCGGCACCTCCAAGCTCGCTGGATTACTAGCCTGACCCCTTAGACAGCTCGCCCACCGAATGAATTGTGTTGTCTTTACCAATGACCAGTGGTCAAGGGATCGAGTGACCAGGTAGCATTGAGGCACAGCCGCCCAAGGTGCTTCGATATGCCAATGCAATAACATCCTTTAAAATATGCTTGTCTGAAACTTATGAGTGCGGATTCGAATCCGATAAACTCGGTGATCTTCAGCCACCAGTGCTAGTTGTTATAGATGACTAATGGGATCGAATGGTCAGGCTCGATGACTTTTCTGACACATGACATCATATCCCAGTTGCGTGAATTGATACTCATGCTGTTGATCACATGATTGTCTGGTCCTGACTTCATTATTTACAGACCGCCGTCATATAACTGGAATATTGATGTGTGTAGCCTTAAACAACAATGAAACAAACACCACTGCAAACTGTAAGATCATTTTGGACTTTCGTCCCGAATCAAACCGACAGTAGTGATCTAATGTTCAGCCTGGGGACGGTGGGGTAGCTAGTGATTACAGAATGCCATTTAGAAAGTGGTCAAATGCATCATATGTGATATTTAGGATTACACTTTCTAAATGACATTGTGTAATCATAGCTTTCGGCCATGGGAGCAGTTCCGATTTACACTTATCAGAGGGGTACACAAAGTCCGCAGTCTAGACTACCAGTTGTCCGACTTCCATTTTTGTGGAAGCCGCGGTGGCTGAGCGGGTTAGGGGGCTGACTTTGTGTGCAGGCGATTAGGTGCCTTATTCTGAGATGGGACTCAACCCCAAAAGTACTAAAATCTGTACTTTACTGGAAGTGTAATTCCAATATAACATATGATGGGTTGCTAGTGGTTAAAGCGTCCGTTCATCCCACCGACAATTCGGGGTCGATGCCCCACAAGGTTAGAATGTGTGAATCCCGCCGTGATATTGCTGGAATATTGCTAAACGCGACATAAAACCAAATCCACTCACTCATATCAGCATGATTTCAGAGAGAACAACTCCAATTTTGTTTCCACAGATCTCTACCTGGACATAGCTCTGACAGGCAACATTGCATCTCCGATACCCGAAGCTGATGCCAACGTCTTCACCCCTCCGGATAGTTGCAGCAGTTCGGTGAGACGTTCATGGCGATGTTTATAAATATGTGTTCGTCAGGGATTTCTTATTTCTTTTCAGAAAGAATACACGAAGAGAGAATTTGAATTATCATGATCAGGTTGTAACGTCCGAGTAAAGGTTTTCATCAGTAATCAATGTTTGTCGAAAGAGACGAATATCAGGATAGGGTGGCCGATGACCGCTGATCAATCACGTGATTGTATGGTCCAGACTCGATTATTTAGAGCCGGCTATCCGGTTGCTGGAATATTGCTGAGAAACATGACGATGACCAATCATCCCCCCAAAAAGATGAACTCACATTAATTTCGACTCATTAAAACAGACCGTCTTTGTCACTAACGGCCATTGAGACAATTGAATGTCAAGATTAAGGTCAGTTCTCAATATATTGCATGGTCATATTCCACAACTGTAAACAAATACTATTATGAGTGAGTGAATTAGTGCGTATGAATTTAAGCCGCTTTAGCAATAAGGCAGCAAAATCACGGTGGGGGATACCATAAAATGGGTTTCATATTATAATATCATGCGTAGAGTTCATATATAAAGAAGCCGTTTGGTTTCCATACAAAGTGTCATGTATTCCCATAAGTCGATGATGAATTAGTACCCTAACACTGTGGTTTATCCTTCAGTATTTCCCTGAAGAAGAGCTGGAAGTGCTACGAGTGGGTGCTCTGAGGAGATTGTTCCAGTGAGGACTGATCAATGATGGCCGCCTTTCCCCAAAGACTGAAAATGTGTTTTGTATATGAGATTGTTCTCCGGCTTTGACATGCGTCACATATTGCTGTATCTGTGTGTTTATCTATTGTGTTGATGTTCATTTTGTTTATATTATTGCAATGTCAATAAAACTACTCTTGTAGTAAAGCAAGAGCTTTGTTCCGTGTTTGATTAACTGTAAACTACCCGTGACGATCCGGATTAGAATTGATCTTCAGCAACCCATGCTTGTCTTAAGAGATCCGCCTTCCTGACACAGTATCCCATTTTGCGGAGGACTAACAGGATCGGGTTATCAGGCTCACTGACTTGGTTGACACATGTCATCGTAGATCGATGTTCTTGATGTTGATCACTGGATTTTCTGGTCCAGACTCGATTATTTACAGACCGTCACTATATAGCTGGAATATTGCTGAGTGCGACGTAAAACTAAACTCACCCACACCCTCACTCACTCTTAAAAGCATACCATCTGACACTACTTCAGCCAAATAGTCCGTTCTAAGATATTTGTTCAGCTCTGTTTTGTGAACGAAGGTTTTTACCAAAGAGTAGGCAGCATTATTGAACTGATGGTAATAGGGTGGCATTTCAAATTGGAGTTCCTGAAGATGTAGTTTGCTACCTTGATGTTCAATGGTTGTGAGGACACTGTTTATTCCTGCTCCCCTGTCGGTGGCCTATGGGGTAAATCTTGCGAGTCATCAGTGTGATACACCTTGAACAAAATCACACCCTGGGTTGAGTATTTGAGGGCCCTGATGTCATAGACTTGTGGATCTCCAACGTTGTTACCTGGACTGATTTTAGAATAAGTGAACCTTGGAGGGAAGTCTTCGAAAAAGGCAAAACTACCATACTTGGCTTCACAGGGCTTGCTTTCTTTGGCATGCGAATAACATCCATTTGAAGTATTATAGATAGATTTGTGCCTCATATTTGAGTCTGACCCTTTTCACGGTACCTCTGGATGATAGTCACCTGCTTCTCAGATGCTAGGCTCAACGGCGCATTGGTTGGGGTTGTTTTTCTACGCATTGCATTGTGACTGTGATCCAAAGAAGTTCTGATGTCCGTGATGCAGGAGGAAACACATGAACATTTAGCTCCCCTTGACCTTCATGCCAGAAGTAGCACATGATGTCATGTGAAGCACGATCAAAGACCTTAAAGTCTCACCTGGTGTTATATTACAATGCACTGGCATTCTGTGATGACGATCTGTTTTTAATTGTTGGTAAAATTTATAAACTGTTTTTAAGTTGTATTACCTCCTATAGTTAAAAATATATTTTTAGATTTTCATAATAATTTTAAATCTCTATCTGTCATCATCTGAACATTTTACACACAAACACTCATTCAGTGACGGCGCCATCGACACAGTTTGTAGATCCGTGGTCGGAACGCATCATTAGCTTAGATTTTGTTCTGTATGTCAGATTCCTTTTCAGTTCTGGCTTCTTCATTGTGCTTCATGTGACTTAAAACACTTCATCAGATACATTGCCTGCTTTATGACCCATACATGGACCTCAAAGCTCGTTTGTAGGCCTGTTCGTTTGCCGAGTGGGGTTTAACTGTGCAGTCTTATGCGTAGATACGTTAGAAGATTGGGGTTTATGTATACGGTGTATAGTGTGGGCAAATGGGCTTAAATTCTGCAGTATGTGACTCTCAACGTAGATACGTTGTTGTTTTTTAGTTTCGTGTAAATGTGCAGTGTGTATTTGTACTGGTAAATACATTGGCGTTTAGTTTTGCTGGGCGAGTGGAGTTTAAGTGTGCTGTGTCTAAAGTTACACTTATGTACGCTGTGCGAGTGGGGTGTAAGTGTGATGTGCCTACAGTTTCACTTAGATATATTGGATGTTTATATAGCGCAACATATCCACGCACTAGTGCATGCTCAAGAAGCTGGTATTTTATTTTCCTCGATCATTGGATGTCAATCTCAACGGCACATCTTATTATCATGCGCAGCTGCCACAAGGCGCACTGAGTTATTGCGGCTTTCCCATCCTTATGAGGTACCCATTCACAGCTGGTGGACTGGGACACATAGTCACAGTACTTTGTCCAACTTCACTGCACGTTGCTGTACCCGCAAGTAGGTGTTTGCACGTATTCATGTGGCCACCATCTGGTCATATACCAACGGATTCGTGTTAAATGCACAGGGTTGTGTACTGTACACTAGGGCTTGTGACAACACTGAAATAGTCTGTACACTAAGGTTTTACACCCGATCACAGGTGGGCTCGATCCCGGCACCTCATGCTCGCTGGATCATTAGCTTGGCGCCTTAGCAAGTTCGCCCACCACGCCCAGCGCTGGGCAAGTGGGGTTTAAATCTGCAGTGTACACACGTACAAGTAGATAGTGGGGGCCTTAGTGTGTAGTGTTTACCTGTAACTGAACATGTAGTAAGTGTTAAAACGCGAGAGTTGGGGAATCAGCTCGCTTGGCAAGAGGTATGACTACACCAACCCACACACAACACAACACCTGAGTAAAATAAACAAGGAGTTTATTACACAGCAGTCACAGGATCATTTCACATAATCAATCAATAATTGTGTGGTTTATAATTAATCATTAGAACATGTTAACACTGTAATCATCTATCAAAGTACATAAATATCACACTTGGATTCGTTACACATACTACATTAATCATGATACACATTCAAAAGTATACCACGTAATGTGATTGGTCAATACTCAGAGGGCGTTCATACCGCACAAAACAGCATATTGCTCATTCATACCGCACAAAACAGCATATTGCTCATAACGCAATGTACTAGTTAGGATACACACTCAATACAATCTAGACATCACGCCAGTGGGCGTTCATACAATCTGCATTCTACAACAGTCAATAAACAACATCGTGTTTGCAAGTAATGCAACAGTTAGGATGCCCGACACACTCTATACAATCTAGACATCACGCCAGTGGGCGTTCATACAATGTGCATTCTACAACAGTCAATAAACAACATCGTGTTTGCACGTAATGCAATAGTTAGGATGCCCGACACACTCTATACAATCTACAATAGCCACATAACAACGTAGAGTTAATCATTATCAAATAAAGCAGATTAAAGAAGATCGTTGGAAAGCCCCCCCCCCCCCTCCCCCAGACGTTTTCAAGATTATAAACTTATAATTACTAGCTTGAAGTAATGTAATATGTGTAATATGAATTGTGACTCTCTAGTGATATCGATAAAATAATTAACCATGCCAGAATTGAATTGTACATGTTTGGTGCAATATTTGATACATTGATATTTCATATGATATGTATCATCTTGTGATTAATTGTGGTAACACCAAATAAATAATGTCATGCAATGTAAAATATCAGTTTAGACTTATGTCATTTCTTTACCACTTCAACTTTTCTTGTCAACCTTGTTCCTGTAAAAACATGGAATGGCCCTTATTCGAGATCAGATCATGAAGGTAATCCCCCCAAGCTCACTCCTGTGTTTTTAGAATTCTACTTTCTTGGGAACTTAATCCATAATCCTATTCCCTAACTCGACTGACGATAATGTGCCTACTGAGAAGTTAAGTTAATCTATCTTGAAAGGATTATCTAATGTTTTTGATAACGTTTTGAAGACAGCGGTGTTGATGAGTGAAGTTCACGACCAATTCGATAAGCCTATCTCAATCTGCCGACACATACAAGACACTCGTCTCGGACGTTCGTTATCAATGTGACCCTTGGCAGCTTGCAGATTGTGACACGTGGTCAGTTAGTCTGTAACATTTCCGTATTTCAATAACGTATACTGTCATGAAATATGTTAAAACATTGTGCGTTTCTATGTTAATATAAGCATGACTGAATGAATATGCCTGAGGGACTTTTGTGTGGGTGAGTTGTTTTTTAATGTCTTCCAACTTAACACCTATCCTATTACATCTCTAAACGATGAGACCCGTGAAGATCCGGGGTAGAATTGGTCTTCAGCAACCCATTCTTGTCATAAAAGGCGACTATGCTTGTCGTAAAAGGCGACTAACGGGATCGGGTGGTCAGGCTCGCTGACTTGGTTGACACATGTCATCGGTTCCCAATTGCGCAGATCGATGCTCATGCTGTTGATCACTGGATTGTCTGGTCCAGACTCGATTATTTACAGACCGCCGCCATATAGCTGGAATATAGAGTGTTGACCCTTTTGTTTGTAAACAAACTTGTTGGACATAGACGATTTCTATTTCGGCAGTATCATTGATTTTTGTAAATTAAAAATTATTAAAGCAAATCGTTTGAACCTAATACCAGTGAAGAAACTACGAAGATAGAAAATTTCGTCAGCAGCGTTCGGGTTTTAAATTAGCGGTCTTAAATATACGATAAAGGACCGCAAAATTTAAAACAGACTAGTTTCATCTTCTAATTTCAATTCAGTCACTCGTACGAATCGTGGATTTTACAAAACACGAAAAACGTAATTGTTGGACATTATCCATCCGGTGTAGTATTGTAACGCACAATGTGATTGATATAATACCGAGTCCGTACCAGACCGCCAAACCTATCTTGCGGCAGAGCCTCGTTTTGAGATTTCCAGATGTCCGTTTGTCAGAGCCCGCTGTACGACAGAGCACGATGATCCCAAACTTATTTTGTCCATTATGTACTAACTGATAAAGCGCTAGTGTTAGCAAAACACAATTTATATGTTTGAGTGAATAGTCCACATTGTCCTCCCGAACACAGACACAGTTGGCCCCCATTGATTGTCATCAATATTCCAGTTATATATTAGTAGTCAGTAAATAATCGAGTCAATCCGGTGAATAACACGATGAACATCGATCTACACGAGATGGGATATGATGACATGTGTCAACCAAGTCAAGAAAGCATGGGTTGCTGAAGACCAATTCTAACCAGGATCTTCACGGATAGTTTACAGTTAATCAAACACGGAACAAAGCTCTTGGTCTACTACAGGAGTAGTTTTAATTACAATGCAATAATACAAACGAAATGTACATCAACACAATAGATAAACAAACAGATACAGCAATATGTGACGCATGTCAAAGCCGGAGAAGAATCTCATATAACAAAACACATTTTCAGTCTTTAGGGAAAGGCGGCCATCATTGATCAGTCCTCACTGGAACACTCTTCACAGAGTGCTACCTTCACGACTTCCTTCCAGCTCTTAGTTAGGGACACCCTGAAGGATAAACCACAATGATAGGGTTCTAATTGATCATCGACTTATGTGAATACATGACGCGTTTTATGGGCACCATCCAACTTCTTTATATTTTACCTTTAAGTATGGTATTCTATGTATGTCCATACCTGTAATTTTGCTGGATACTTGCTAAAGTTTATTATTAATCATACTCACTATCATGTTCATAGTTCTAGAATCTGACAGGAGCCATGCAATATATTGAGAAAAAAGATGGCCTTCATCTAGGCAATCAATATTTTCATGTGAATCACAATGAACCTTCGCGAGTGATAAAGAATTGTTATCTATTTATTGTGAGCTGTTGATTTTGTAATATAATACAAAAAGGATACATCTCTCTTTTGTAATATAATACAAAAAGGATACAATCCTCTTTGGCGTTTCCGTTTTTTTCCTGTGAGTATATTTTCATTTGTCAGTATTACGCGTCTACCGTCTACTGACGTCCTCGGTCTGTTATTCTGATAATTGTGTCTTTCGATCAATATATGATAGTTCAAATTCCCTCATGTTGTATTTTTTCCAAAAAGGGAAGTCCCTGACAAACTCTTAATTCTGTTCTGAAACATCGTCATGAACGTCTCACCGAGCTGCTGCAACTATCCGGTGGGGTGAAGATGTCGGCGTCCGCATCAGGTATCGGAGATACAACGTTGCCTGTGAAAGTCTGGTCCAGGAACTCATCTGTGGAAACAAAATTGCCGTTGCTCTGAAATCACGCTGTTTTGAGTGAGTGAGTGAGTTGGGTTTTACGCCGCTTCTAGCAATATTCCAGCAAAATCAAGGCAGGACACACCAGAAATGGGCTTTACACGTTGTAACCGTGTGAGGAACAGACCCTGGGTCTTCGGTGGGATGAACGGATGCCTTAACCGTTGACGGCGCTATATGACGGTGCTACAGAACACAGACCCATTTGGTCCCCGTTTTACAAGTTTGTTTGTTTGATTGTCAGCAATATTCCAGCTATATATTATTGTCGAGACCGGGCCAGACAATTCAGTGATCAACAAAATGAACATTGATCTACGCAATTAGGACACGATGTGTCCACCAAGTCTGCGAGCCTGACCACCAGATACCGTTAATTGTCTGTTATGAACAGGATAGGCTGCTAAAGGGCAGTTCCAACCCGAATCTTCACGGGATTGTGGGGCTGTCAGGCTGGGAATATAACAGAGTTTACTCGATTCGAACCCGTACTGATAAGTTTCAGGCATTCATATTTTAAAAGAAATGATAGCATTGGCATATCGCAGCACCTTGAACGGCTGTGCCCCAATGCTCCCTGGTCACTGGATCCCTTGACCATTGGTCATTGGTAACGACAACACAGTTAATTCTGGGGACACGCTATCAGTGCCAGATCTTAATGCAGTTGACATTCCATGTATTGTACCTTTTCAAAATGACATTTATTAAATAGCTTATTGTTTTAGTAAATGCAAGCAAATGTGAAATGTGTAGTGACCAATTTTGGTCAGGCTCCCTACGAATGGACGAGTAATAAGAATGAGACCATATCTTCACCAACTCAATGCGACAGTACATACCTCCTTTACGTCCGAGTCTTGTAGACTGTATCGGAACGTAGGAGTCGCTGGTGATGGCGATCACTTCTCCGATTGTGTGGGTTTCGTAGACCTCTTCAATGTAGTAGACCTTGGCAGTCACCGTGTCCGAGCCATCAGAAGAAAAACCTATCTTAGCGTCGTACAGGAACGTTGCGTCGTCTGAAAGGACATGTGGTTTGTTGGTTAACGCGGTCTGTAAATAATGAAGTCTGAACCAGACAATCCAGTGATCAACATCATAAGCATCAAGTCAGCAAGCCTGACCACCCGATATCGTTAGATAACTCTGAAGACAAGCATGGGCTGTGAAGACCAGTTCTAACCCGGATCTGACTGGCACGGCAGGCTGGCAACCTAATCACCGGTGTTTACTGGATTCGAACCCGTACTGAAAAGTTTCAGTCCAGACCGAGCAATAATGCGATCTGAGATTGAATATAATTTTACGCTGCTTTTAGCAACAGACCAGCAATGTCAAGATCAGAAAATGGCCTTTACACAGTGTACCAATGTGCGGAATCGAACCGGGACTTTGGCGTGTGGAGTGACCGCTTTAACCACTAGGCTATCCTACTGCCCATGTCAGTGTCAGTTTACACCGAACAGGCGCTAATGGTCCATTCCAGACATTGTTTAAGCGTCAGTTTCTCAATAGAATCCAATGATGGAATTGGGGAGCTTCGTGGTTAAACCGTTCGCGCGTCACGCCGAAGGCCCGGGTTCGATTCTTGTGGTGTCCACCGCCGTGTTATTGTTAGAATAAGCAGCGTAATACTTAACTCACTCACTCACCATAGATTGGAGTACTGTTTTTCTGATTTCGGTATGTTTCAGCAACAGACAAACGACATACGCGTCACTTCCTCGCCCCTATGTGGCTAAATCGTCATGATCCGGATTAGAATTGGTCTTCACACGAACATCGTAAGAGGCGACTAACGGGATCGGGTGGTCAGGCTCGCTGACTTGGTTGACACATGTCACCCTACCCCAATTGCATAGATCGATGCAATCGCTTAAATGTCTGCACCAGGCTTCATTAATTACAGACTGCTGTCATACAACTGGGATATTGCATTAAACAACCAATCTTAAGGTTGATAGACGCACATGATGTCAATCACTGAATTGTCTGGTCCAGATTGAATTAATTAAAAACCGATTTCATACAGCAGGAATATTGGGTTAAACAACCATGCTTTAGGTTGATAGACGCACATGATGTCAATCACTGAATTGTCTGGTCAAGACTCAATTAATTAAAAACCGATCTCATACAGCAGGAATATTGCGTTAAAGAACCATTATTTAGGTTAATCAATGTCAATAGTTGGATTGTATGGTCCAGACTCGATTATTTACAGACTGCGGTCAAATATTGTACTACTGAGCTTGGACGAACTAAAAGCTACGTTGATGTATACATCCAAAACGTAGTGCTCATAATATCACCGAGACTTACCTCCAATGCACCGTTTCTTGAAAGGGTCTGTCAGATCCTTTGACTTGCATGTATTCTTCGCCAGATCGACCTCGTATTCCTTTTTCTAAACACATAAAAATGCATCAAGGCGTACATACAAACGCCACTGACGGGTAGGAGGTGGACTGATGAGATTAAAGGTGTGGAAGTGTTGGTAGGGGGTGGAGGTGGGGGTGGTGGGTTGGCTGCGCAGCAAAAGCAGTTGCAGCCATATTACTTACCCCTGGATAGTCTAAGATGATTTTGATGTCTCCATTCCCCGTGCCACCCGTATAGTTCGAGACGACAGCAATTTTCTGTTGACTAGCGTCATAGTAGACTAGTTCGTGGCCCTGTGGTTACAATTAAATACTGCATACTATGGTAACAATAAAAACAAGAATTACATTATGTCCTGGTTTTACGACCAAGTAATATAAAAAGGATCAATTTTGCATATATTTGTATGCAATAAATCCAAGCGCAATCAATCAACCTATTGTCGATTAATCCTTTGACTAAACATTTTTACACCAACATGCAAGACATTCGCGACATTATTGCTGAGTGCGGCGTAAAACTAAACTCACTCACTCAATTAGAGATACATAAATCTTATCTGATGGTATTTACCCTCCTGAGAGGTTACATAAGTCCCAAAACATTTCAAGTAAATTTAAATCTACCAGGTTTTTAATCGTAGTATTTTTGTCATTTTAATGTATGGCTAAATCTCAGCATAAACGCCAATGGTTGAAGGGATGGTGTAAATCCAGCTAGGGTCAATGCAGGTAGCAAGGCACTGTAAGTCCCCATGGTCCCTAGGATGGGTATCTACCTTTAGTTGTTGGCTTTGGTCTACTTTTAAAGATATATGCTAGCTAGTTTTAACTCAATCTGTGATAATCTAGTAAATTTACTGTCCTTTGCTGACAGGGTTTTATATATTACATGTATGTATTATGAATTTAGACTAGTTTTAGTCACGATATGGCTGAACTATTGCCGCTGTTACTTTAACTCACTCACTCACTCACTCAATGATGGTATTTACCTCTTCTCTGTCAGGCTCGTATTCGTTGTCTTTTTTGGGTAGAAGCAGGGCCACAGATACTTCTTCTCCGCGCCATGAATCAGGCGTACACAACTGTTCAGCAACGGAACACCCGACCAGAACGGCAACGAACATCAACCCAAACATCATGGCCGATGGTGATTCTTTAACCAAAATGCCAACTAATACATTCCTACTTTATATACCCGTAGAAACGCCATGTCACCTGGTTTATATTAATCCTGATCAATTTATTGAGTGAATAAATTATTCTTATTTGGTATAACTATCATTTTTATTTCAATCATGATGTGCACCCTGTGACGTTTCTATTCTGACCCGATTCCTTTTAATCAAAAAAATAATATTTATTGACAAAAGTGGTTTGAATGGAAATAGCTAGTGTAAATTTAAAATATTAATTTCATTTTTATTTCAGTCAAAACGCATACTATGTGACCCCTCGATGTTAATTACCATTAATTTAATTTGTCCTTTAATTGGTTTACATGAAAACCAAACCTACCCACTCGCTCCGTAAGGTAAAAATCATATGCTGAAAAACAGATTTAGGAATCAAACCTATTTGGGGGAAATTCGTTATGCAGTTGTATTCTCACTCACTCATCAAACGGAAAGTTTAGCAAAATATAATCTTTAAACCAAGGTTCCTTGGAAATATGAATAAATACGTCTGAGTGAGCCGAACAGCTTCTGAAAAGTACCTGGCTTATTACAAATATGAATAGTATCTCATGACCTTATGTTGAGATGTACTAGCACATGATCGCATGCTCTTAATACTTATGTTGTAAATACACGAGCACATTATCGTATACTGTTAATATACCAGCACAAGCTCGTATACTGTTAATATACCAGCACGTAACCGAATGCTGTTAATATACCACCACATGATCGTATGCTCTTAATATAACAGCACATGAATCTATGCTGATAATAAAAGCATACGATCGTATGCTCTTAATGTAACATCACATGAACGTAAAGCTGTTAATATTCTAACATATTATCGTATGATGCTAATATACCAGCGCATGACAGTTTGCTGTTAATGTACCAGAACATGGTCGTATTCGTTTAATATTCTAGCAAACAATGGTATGCTCTTAATATATCAGCACATGATGGTATTCTATTAATATACTAGCTCATGGTGGTATGTTGTAAATATATTAAGACATGATCGTTTATTCACGGTTTAGGGTCATTCTTCAATAGTCCAGGTAATTATCGGTGGTCTGTATATCCATGGTCGGGGCCATATTACAATCGTCAAGGTAATTAACGGAGTCCTGTAGATCCATGGTCGAAGCCATATTACAATCGTCAAGGTAATTAACGGAGTTCTGTAGATCCATGGTAAGGGCCATATTACAATAGTCAAGGTACTTAACGCCGGTCTGTATATCCATGGTCAGGGAGTGAGAATACAACTGCATAACGAATTCCCCTAAATAGTTTTGAGTCATGAATACATTTTTAATATATGATTTTCACCATCCAGAGAGAATGAGCCAATTTGGTTTCCATCTAACGCAAGTCATTTACGAGATAAATTAAATTTATGTTAATTCAAATCGAAGGGTCATAGAGTAAGCGTTTTGATTGAAATAAAAATGAAATGGATGTTTTAAAATTATGCTACTTACTTCCATTCAAACCACTTTATTCAATCCATACATTCTTTTGGATTGATAACAAGACAGCCTTCACGGTGTATGCGTCGTCATTGAAATAAAAAACAAAATGATACCAGTTATTCCAAACGAAAGCATTGTATATAAAAAATGATTAGGAGAAATTGACCAGCTTTGTCCACCTGCTTCCTGGCGCGGGGAAGAAGTATCTGCAGATCTGCTTCTACCCAAAAATGATAACGAATACCAGCCCGACAGGGAAGAGGTAGACAACATCAGATTTGGTTTCTGTATCTCTATGGTTCGCTTCGGTAGTTTAGTTTTGTTAAAGCATTTCTCGTCAGGTGATCGGAAAAAGGAAAAAAGTCGCAATAACAAAATTAATTAAATTCAATAATTTAGGTTAATATCATCATGATCATAAATCATACATTTATAATTAAATAACAGATTCAAGCACTCAGGTATTTAATTAGATAATGGAAATTGATATAGTACTCACAGTTCTACTAGCTTTCATAAATCGATAAAAATTCTTTGTTAAGTCGAATGGCTGCTTGCTTCTTCTTTTAGAGTCGAACTTTGGTCATCTCAGTATGTATAATAGCTAATTGTTGTCAAAGTGTCATTATGACCCGTGAGAAGCCACAGAGTAACTACTGTATTAACAAAGCATAATCAAAGTAATATACCAAATAATTGATTTAATTAAGAAACAGTTCAATAGCGTTTTTACAACCAACTAATATATACAGATTGTAATGTGACTTATTTCCTGTGACTTTTTCCGGGACTTTTTATCATGTGACTTTCCTCTCGTGATACGTTCGTCACGCCGAAGACCCAGGTTCGATCCCCCACACAAAAACCAAAAATTCAAGAAACTCTCCGCATTGTGGCCAGTTTCTGACAAATGATTTGACGAAATTCAACATGCAGTTATAATAAGTGTATGCTGAGGATGAACAAATAGAAACTTGAAAACAAACAGCGACAAAGTTAAACTACCTCGCTAAGAATATTTACTTTTGCTTAAAAAATCATGTTTTTACCAGGTTTGGGAGGTTGTAAGTGAATGAAAGTATTTTAATAAGTATCATGGCACAAATGTCAACTCATTTTGACTTAATTTGGCTAATGTAGAGCCCATGGCGAGAATATTTACTTTTGCTCACAATTCATGACTTATTATCATGTATCGTTGCATCGAAGAAAAACGATAAATACTTTGTTACAGACTTACCAATCGCAATATTAGTGGAGGCCAGTTTATTTTCATCAAAGAAGATAAACGAAAAAAAACCCTCCATTGTTTCACATGCCCATCCAGCGCCATTTTCTAACGGTCATCTTCTCTCAATACTGTCCATTACCCCTGTCAGATTCCAGAACAGCTAATCCCCTGGAGTTCCAATGTTTGATCGCATTATGCTCGCGAAAACCCTTCGCCTTGCAGACCCGTATATGTGTTTAAATCGGAATGTATATTTATGTAAACAAGTGAATCTCAATGTCTTTAGTTACTGTACTCAAAACAAGTTACGAATTGTGCGGACTGTACTGACAACAATGTTTTCAGCTGATGTACTCAAAACAGTAACAATCACATAATACAGCAAATTACGGATTGTGCTGACTGTACTGACAACAATGTTTTCAAATGTACTCAAAACAGCAACAATCACATAATACAGCAAATTACGAATTGTGCGGACTGTACTGACAACAATGTTTTCAGATGATGTACTCAAAACAGTAGCAATCATATAATACTACAAAATACGAATTTTGCGCATTATACTTAGAACAATGTTTTCAGATGATGTACTCAAAACAATAACTATCACATAATATAGCAAATTACGAATTTTGCGCATTGCACTGACAACAATGTTTTCAGATGATGTACTCAAAACAGCAACAATCACATAATACAGCAAATTACGAATTGGGCGGATTGTACTGACAACAATATTTTCAGATGATGTACTCAAAACAGTAACAATCATATAATACAGCGAATTACGAATTTTGCGCATTGTACTGACAACAATGTTTTCAGATGATGTACTTAAAACAGCAACAATCACATAATACAGCAAATTACGAATTGGGCGGATTGTACTGACAACAATGTTTTCAGATGATGTACTCAAAACAGTAACAATCATATAATACAGCAAATTACGAATTTTGCGCATTGTACTGACAACAATATTTTCAGATGATGTACTCAAAACAGTAACAATCATATAATACAGCAAATTACGAATTTTGCGCATTGTACTGACAACAATATTTTCAGATGATGTACTCAAAACAGTAACAATCAAATAATACAGCAAATTACGAATTTTGCGCATTGTACTGACAACAATATTTTCAGATGATGTACTCAAAACAGTAACAATCACATAATACTGCAAATTACGAATTTTGCGCATTGTACTGACAACAATGTTTTCAGATGATGTACTCAAAACAGTAACAATCACATAATACTGCAAATTACGAATTTTGCGCATTGTACTGACAACAATGTTTAAAGATGATGTACTCAAAACAGTAAAAATAATATAATACAGGAAATTACGAATTTTGCGCATTGTACTGACAACAATATTTTCAGATGATGTAC